ATGTCGGCATTTAAATAAAAAAAATTGTCTGCATTCAGCCGACCTTATCTAAAGTGTGCGGAATTTTTGTTTTATTTGCAAAATAAATGTGTGACGCTACAATAAGTGAAAAAGTGGAATTTTGCTATTGGCTATAATTAGATAATGAAAGTCTAACATTGAGGGAGCATAGGAACTTCGACCGAATCTGTTGCAAATTTGTATAACTTCTGATTTTCATTACTGTTTATTTTTGCTGATATAGAAAAATATTTGATAATTTATATAAAAAACTTTCAAAAAAGTCCATTCCATATATTGGGATATCTTTCAAATCATGCCTTCCATTGCTTACTCTCCATACCAATTCGTGCGTTAAAAATAGCTTCAGGAATCCCGTTTACCTAGTTAACCTAGTCCAGACGTCAATTTGGGTTTTATGCCAACACAAAACAACAACAACAAATTGTAAACAAACAAATGTTTGTTGTTCAAAGACCAAATGTGGAAGAAAATATAAAAACAAACAAACGCAAAAATATGCGGACAAACATTTCGCCATACCAAGCTGGCTGCTTGCTTGTTATGGATACAATGAAACTATTAAGCACAAATTCCAATCTTACTCAAACACACACACACACACATAGATAGACGGACAATATTGAAATATTTGCTATATTACGTATTTTCACGTACAACTTTATTTTTAGATGTGATTTGCCAAATGAGATGAGCGCGAATGAATGGTGTGTTTGAAATGTGAAGAAAGTCCACACAACAGTTTATTTATTGGCACATGTGATGTATGTGTGTGGTGCATACTTTTAGGAGCTAAACAACAGCAACAAAAAACTCTTCGATATTTATACTAAATTTTGTTGAAAATCCTTCAGACTCAGAGGATAATATTTTATAGAAAAATAAATCTCAGATCTAAGATTTTTTTAGAAAAAAATCTGGCCATGGTTACTGGGATTTTTTTTTTTTTTTTGAAAAATTTCTTCATTTTTTTAAAAATCTCAGATACTGACTGCTTTAATAGAAAATAATATGTCCAGATGAAGACAGATTCATAGAAGAGATTTGTCAAATAAGATGAAGCATTTTTCGGAATGATTCGCTAATATCTTATTATGTGCATTGCATACTTTTCGGAGCTCTAGATCAAAAAACAACTGTTTTGAGACAAACGCAAAGTTTTAGTTATATACAAAATACTTCAGACTCTTAAGCCAATTATTTTATAGAATAGTACATTTCAACTTCTACAGAAAAAAAATCTGGTACTATGTTGAAAAATCCTTCAGACTCAGAGGATAATGTTTTATAGAAAAATAAATCTCAGATCTAAGATTTTTTAGAAAAAAAACTGGCTTTGGTTTCTGGGTATTTAAAAAAAAAATCTCTTAATTTTTTAAAAAAATATCTCAGACACCAAAGCCAGACTGTTTTTAATAGAAAATAATACGACCTAATAGAGATGGATTTTTAGAAGTGATTTGTCAAATAAGATGAATGATTCGGAATGATTCGCTAATATCTTATTATGTGCAATGCATACTTTTAGGAGCTATAGATCAAAAAGCAACTGTTTTGAGACAAATGCAACGTTTTAGTTATATAAAAAATACTTCAGACTCTGAAATCAATTATTTTATAGAATAGTACATTTCAACTTCTACAGAAAAAAAATTTGGTACTATGTCAATTTTTTCTGCAGTTGAGTCCAGATTTTTCAGGTATGAAATAATACTAAATACGATGACACTCAATGACAAGATTTTTTATATCAAAATAATAATTCAGAATCCGAGGTCAAATTTTTTTGGTACTACTGAGTCCCTATTTGTTCTATAGACAAAATCTTCGTTCATTGCCATTTTCTGAAAACAGATTCCTCTATGGAAAAAGATGCACTGAATTGTGCCTAACATAATTCTTCAGAACACGAATACATTTTTTTTTAATAAAAATAGCTCAGATACTGAGGCCAGATATTTTTGTGTAGAAAGAATTATTTTCGTCTCAAAAATTGAGAATAGATTTTTCCTAATACTCAGGCCAGATTTTCTAAAGAACATTTTCGAAGGACTATACACGACCACTAAGGGTGGATTTTTTAAAATATTTTCGAAGGAATATCCGATCACCATTCGTGAATTATTGAAAAAAAAAATTGTTTGAAGGAATATCGGATAAACAAGCGGTTTTTTTTTCAAAATATTTACAAAGGACTATGAAGGACAATACGATCACTAAGAGTGGATTTTGAAAAAAAAAATATTTTCGTAGGACTATTTTCAAAGGACTATCCGAACACTAACCGTGGATTTTTTAGATAATATTGATAAAAACTTCGGATTTTTAAAAAATTTTTATAAATATTTTCTAACCGAAATATTTCCGATTTCGAAGGACAATACGAAGACTAAGGATGGTTTTTTCTAAAAAAAAAATTTGTAGGACAAGCGTAGATTTTTTTTCGAAGGACTATTTGAACACCAACCGTGATTTTTTTAGAAATATTTTCGAAGAACAAAACGACCACTATGAATGGATTTTTAAATAATTTTTTCGAAGGACAATTCGAACACTATGCGTGAATTTCTTAAAAAATATTTTCGAACGACAATTCGAACACAAAGATAAAAATCTCGGTATACCTAAGGTGTCATTTTTCTATAGATAAAGGTCCCACCTGTAGTAATTAGGCCACTTTTTTATAGGTAGAAAATCCTATCTCAGTTACTGAGCTGACTTTTTCTATTAGAAAAAATAAAGCTCACTTAGGTGGTGAGGTGACTTTTTATACCCATCTCCACACTGTGGTACAGGGTATTAAGTCTTAGTGCATATGTTCGTAACAGGCAAAAGGAAACGAGATAGACACATGGTTCCTTTTGAGAATATGCATAGAATCAGTTTTTAAGTCGTCCTTCCGTCTGTCTGTCCATGTTAAATTGTAAACAAAGTACAGGTCGCATTTATTATCCGATTTGGCTGAAATTTGGCACAGCTCACTTATTTGGCCCAAGGACGAACCCTATTGAAATTGGAAAAAATCGGTTCAGATTTAGATATAGCTCCCATATATATTCGTCCGATTTAAGGTAAATGGGGCACCAAAGACCCTATATATGTTTCGATTTGCACGAAATTTGGCACAGCGTACTGAATTAGTTCCAGAATAATGTATGCCAATTTTCGAGAAAATTGGTTCAGATTTAGATATAGCTCCCATATATATTTTCGTCCGATATTATGTAAATGGTGCACCAATGTCCCTATATATCATCCGATTTGCACGAAATTTGGCACAGCGTAATGAATTAAGGGTAGAGTGATGTAAGTTAAGTTTCCTGAAAATCGGTTCAGATTTAGATATAGCTCCCATGTATAGTTTCGTCCTATTTTCAGTAAATGTTCGACCAATGTCCCTATATATCATTCGATTTGAACGAAATTTGGCATAGCGTACTGAATTGAGTCTAGAATGATGTGTGCTATGTTTCGTAAAAATCGGTCCAGATTTATATATAACTCCCATATATATTTTCGTCCGATTTTATGTAAATGGTGCACCAATATCCCTATATATTATTCGATTTGAACGAAATTTGGCACAGCGTACCGAATTGAGTCTAGTCTGAGTCTGTGCTAAGTTTCGTGAAAATCTATTCCGGTTTAGATATAGCTCCCATATGTATTTTGATTTTATGCAAATTGTGCACCGAAGTCCATATATATCTTTCGATTTGCACGAAATTTGGCATAGCGTAGAAAGATGTGCGATTAGCTTCGTGAAAATCGTTTCAGATTTAGATATAGCTCTCATATATATTTCGTCCGTGAAAATCGGTTCAATGAAATTAAATTTAGCATAGGTCCCAAGAAGGGCTTTAAAGATCTTATATTCTTTCAATTTGATGCCAATGTTCTTTCGAAAAGGCGGAGTCTATTAGGAGACATATGTAGAATATACCCAAAGTGGTGAAGGGTATTATATAGTCGGCCCAGTCCGACTTTACTACTTTCCTTACTGGTTTCTATAAAAGAAATCGACCTCTTTTTTCTATAGAAAAAAAAAACCGACCTCGGTTAATGAGGCCCTGACCTTTTTTTATAAAAAAAAAAACTCACTTAATTAGATGATTTTTTATAGCAAAAAGTCCGACCTCAGTTAACGCAGTGAAAAAAATCGAACTTAGGTAATGAGATGACTTGTTTCTATAGAAAAAATCCGACCTGTCCCAACTAAAACACCCTTTGTTATATATGCCTTTCTTTCCTCACGTTGTTGTGTGATCAAACATTTTTCTTAATAATTCGTTGATTCCGACAAACACGCTATGATAATCGTGTGATGATCCGAACTTGAATGTTTGGATTTGTTTGTTTGCTTGACGATGTCATGTTTGGGGATTTCTCTCTTTTTCGGTTTAGGTGTCTGTCCGTTGTTTACACTTTTTATTTATTGCCGTTATTCGTTTGTTGTTATTTGTTTGTTTTTCGTGTTTTTTTTTTTAATTTTTTGTTTTTTGTTTTCAAATCTTAATTTTGTTACACCCTCTTTCCCCACAAAGTGCGGGTTTTTTTGTAATTTTGTCTTCTCTCTTTTTCATTGCTTATTCTTCTTTGCACTACAAAGTTGATGGGTATTTTTGTTTGACAATATTTGTCATTACTGTTGTTGATGATGTTGTTGTTTTTGTAGGAAGTAAACAAACCAAAACTGAAATATATTTACAAAGAATCTGAGACAAAAAAACAATTCAAGTTCAGGGTTATGTTTGTGTGTCTCTCGTAAAACAAAAGCGGTTTTTGTTTATTTTTTCGAATTATGCCGGTTTTATAGACCAACGAAAGCTTTTTTGGAGATTATCGTAGTTGAGGTTATTGCCGCTACCCCTAAGGGGTTTATTCTTGGAAATTAATCTTACACATCGATAATCTTGAAATTTATTGAGTTTGTTTTTTGTTTATAATTTGTAATAAATTAAAAATCTAATCGAACTTACCTTCCAGCCCGCACTACTTGTCGAATCACCTTTATCCTTAAAATATGGAACATTGTGCACCATCCATTCATAGATTTGACTTAGCGTCAAACGTTTTTCACTGGCCGAGCCAATGGCGTGCGTTATCAGATCAGCATATGAGAGATTGCCCCAGGCATTGCGGCGTGATGAATTCTTTTTGGCGGCATTCACACTAGGAACATTGGTTTGTTGTGAGTCTGGAAATACAAAAAAGAAACAAAAAAAAATAAATATAATAGAAAATTTCTAGAAAAAAAACCTCAGCTACCTAATTCGAAATTTGTTCTATGACATGGAAAAAACTTAGCTACTGAGGTCGGATTTTTTTCATAGAAAAACAGTGGTTTTTAGTTTTCCGATTTTTTACCTCAGCAACTACAGTCTCCAATTCATTTTTTTTATAAAAAAGCGACCTCATTAACTGAGGTCTCCGATTTTTTTTCTAGGAAAAAAACGACCCATTAACTGAGGTCTTCGATTTTTTTCTATGAAAAAACCGTGAACTTATTAACAGAGGTCTCCGAATTTATTTCTATAGAAAAAAGCGACCTTAGGAACCGAGGTCTCCGATTTTTTTTCTGTAGAAAAAATCGACCTTTGAAACTGTCGTTTCCGAACCTTTTTTCTATAGAAAAAAGGCGACCTCAGTAACTGATTTTTTTCTGTAGAAAAAAAAGACCTCAGTAACTGAGGTCTCCGAATTTTTTTCTATAGAAAAAATAAGCGACCTCAGTAACTATGAGGTCTCCGAATTTTTTCCTATAGAATAAAAAAAGCGACCTCAGTAACTATGAGGTCTCCGAATTTTTTTCTATAGAAAAAAATAAGCGACCTCAGTAACTGAGACCTCAGTTACTTGGAGACCTCAGTTACTGAGGTCGCTTATTTTTTTCTATAGAAAAAATTTCGGAGACCTCAATTACTTATTTTTTCTATAGAAAAAAATTCGGAGACCTCTCAGTTATTGAGGTCGCTTATTTTTTTTTTATAGAAAAAAATCGGAGACCTCTCAGTAACTGAGTTCGCTTATTTTTGTCTATAGAAGAAAATTCGGAGGCCACAGTTACTGAGGTCGCTTATTATTTTATATTGAAAAAAATTCGGAGACCTCTTTTTCTATAGAAAAAAAAATACGCGACCTCAGTAGTTGAGGTCTCTGAATTTTTTTCTATATAAAACATAAGCGACCTCAGTAACTGAGGTCTCCGAATTTTTTCTATAAAAAAAAATTAGCGACCTCAGTAACTGAGGTCTCCAATTTTTTCTATAGAAAAAAATAAGCGACCTCAGTAACTGAGGTCTCCGAATTTTTTCTAAAAAAAAAATAAGCGACCTCAGTAACTGAGGTCTCCGAATTTTTTCTATAGAAAAAAATAAGCGACCTCAGTAACTGAGGTCTCCCAATTTTTTCTATAGAAAAAAATAAGCGACCTCAGTATCTGAGGTCTCCGAATTTTTTCTATAGAAAAAAATAAGCGACCTCAGTATTTGAGGTCTCCATATTTTTATACCCTTCACCACACTGTGACACAGGGTATTTGTGCATATGTTTGTAACATGCTAAAGGAAACGAGATATACCCATGGTTGCTTTTGAGAATATGCATAGAATCACTTTCTGAGTCCATTTATACATGTCCGTCCGTCTGTAGATGTTAAATTGTAAACTAAGTACAGGTCGCATGTATGATTAGATTTGGATGAAATTTGGCACAAGTCACATATTTGACTCAAATTGAAATTCTAGAATCGGGTCAGATTTAGATATAGCTCCCGTATATAGTTTCGTGCCGCGAAGTCCCTATATAACTTTCGATTTGCACGAAATTTTGTATAGTGTACGGAATTGAGTCTTGAATGACGTGTATTAAGTTTCGAGAAAATTGATTCAGATTTAGATATAGCTCCCATATATAGTTTTGGCCGATTTTATGTAAATAATGCACCAAAGTCCCTATATATCTTTCGATTTGCTCGAAATTTGGCATAGGGTATTGAATTGTGTCTAGAATGAAGTGTGCTAAGTTTCATGAACATAGGATCAGATATAGCTCCCTATATAGGTTCGTCTGATTTTATGTAAATGATGCACCAAAGTCCCTATATATCTCTCGATTTGCACGAAATTTGGCATAGGATGCTGTGTTCAAAGTTTCAGATCAGATTTAGTTATAGCTCCCGTATATATTTTCGTCCTATTTAATGTAAATTGATTGACACAACGTACAGAAATTAATATTCCTTCGAAAAAGCCGACGTCCGTTAGGATACATATGTTGAATATACCCAAAGTGGTGAAGGGTATCATATAGTCGGCCCAGTCCGACTTTACTATTTTTTTTTTAATATTAATATTTTTTATAAAAAATCCAATTTGATTTTTATTTACTTATTTCAATTATTTATGATCACTCACCTCCTCCAGCCAATTGCTGATTACTGGCCTTTGTACTCTCCAGCTCATCGGGTGGCTCTACAAAATTTTCTGGTCTTGGGCAGGGCCAGGTATTCGAACGGGCTCTGGTCTGTGGCTCAAAGCCACTTTCATGTAATTCCGCCACCAAATCCATATGCAGACCACTGGTATCGGTGCGTGGTGGCGTTGTCCATTCATGGGCAAAGCCGTCCATTATATTGGCGTATGGATCGTTTAATAGTTGCAGGTTTGTGCTGGGTACGCAAAAAAAGGATTTGTACACGAAGATACCGGCGTCAGAAGCGTCAAAGCCAGCCAACCAGTTACCCAAACTAGAGCACACAATAGGAGATGAGCAGCGGTTGGCCTAGGTTCCAAGTTCCAGATTTTCAAGAATAGTGCTGCAAAAAAATAGGAAAAATAAAAAATTAATATTTGAGGTGTAACATGGTGTATATAAGAACATTATGTAAAATTGCTGTTAAACATTTGAGCAAATATAAGAGCTTTGGTAGATAGCTAGGTACTCTAGTAATAAATAAAATAAATATTTAACTACAAATGCACACCGAGATAAGGTAATGGCGAACAGTGTAATAAATGCTCAAGTGCATTTTTTACAATACGTGTAAGGTGTACATTGGAGGGCAAGGTTAGAATTAGATTTTAGCTCGTTTTCAGATTTTTTCTTTGGACAAAATTTTACAGCAACCGTGGGACAATTGTAGCTATGGAAAAACTGCATATACCTTTAAACCCCCAGAGAAATGAGATCATTTTTTTTATAGAAAAATATACCTCATTAAATGAGATAGATTTTTTAGTAAAAATTGCCTCAATAACTAAAGACGCTATTTTTTCTATAAAAGAATTGCCTTAAAATCTTAGTTAGTGATTTTTCTATAATAAAAAATACTTCATATTTACTGAAGTCCTATAATTTTTCAGAGAAAAAGTGGCACCGGATTTAGGGTTTTTATAGAGAAAAAAAAGAGAAAAAAGCCACAGTACCTGAGGATTATTTTTCCTCTGAAACTAAGGACGCAATTTTTTCTAGAAAAAAATCGCATCCGAAAATGGGTTCACGATTTATTTTCTATAGAAAAAAACTTCCACAAAAACTGATGTCTCAATTTCATTTCTATAGAAAAAAATACTAATAAGTTACTTAGGTCCGAAATTTAGGTCTCGGATTTTTTTTATATAAAACCTGAGGTCGTTTTTTATAGAAAAAATGTCATTTAACTGAAGTCAATTTTTTTTCTATAGAAAAATATGTTTTCTGTGAATTTGACTATCAAAAAACTTTTGTATACAAAAGTAAAAAAAAAAACAAAAACAAATTGCCATTTAATATTATTTAGAATGTCAATCTGTATCACGATTAGTCGTTTAGTCGTTTGTTTTTCACATTTCAATGTTAGGCGGATTAGTTTGGTATTATTTGCATTTAATTTAATTTTTTTTTTGTATTTTTTGAAATGTTGATGATCGAGCTGAGGAACAATTTAGCAGTTATCAGATAATTAATAAACAATTCGCATTTTCTTTGTACAGATTTCGTGTCTGAATGTGTTTGTGTGTAGAAGTGTTATGCCTGTTTAATTTATTCGGAGGAAGAAAAAAAAACGAATATAAAATTGTGATGAGAGCTCGGAACTCATCACAAAACAATTTTTTTTATTTTCAACATTTGCTATTTTAGGTCATTGAGCTGTCAATAAATTGTATAAACAAAATAAAATAGCATCCATGGTGTATGTATGGGTGTTTAGAAGCAATACATAAAAAATTAAAATTGTAAACGAAAATGGATGAAAACAAAGGTTTTTTTCTATAGAACAAATATAGGAAACCTCAGTTAAAGAGGTAATATTTCTATAGAATAAAATCGGAGACTTCAGAGGTCATTTCTTCTATAGAAAAAAAATCGGTGTAATCAGTTATTGAGATAATTTTTTTCTATAGAAAAAAAATTGGAGACCACAGTGATTGAGGCAGCAACGTACACAGGATTTCATTTCGGGGGGGGCCCGGTAGTACAAAATGAAAAAATCGCTGTTGGAAGCATATATTTACTGTGAAAAAAATTCATTTCGGGGGGGCCCAGGCCCCCAGGGCCGCCCCCCTGCGTACATCCCTGGATTGAGGTCATTTTTTTCGATAAAAAAAAAATATTTTTTAAAATATCTACGCCTGAGAAAAGTCTTGAAAAATATATTTTTTTAAATCCACACTTAAGCATAGCCTTGAAAAATATATTCTTTTAAATCTGCACTTAAGCATGGCTTTGAAAAATATTTTTTAAAACATTCACGCCTAAGGTTAGTCTTGAAAAATATATATTTTTTAAATCTACACCTAAGGATAGTCTTGAAACATACTTTTTGTAAATCCTCGCCTAAGCATAGTCATGAAAAATATGTTTTAAAAAATCCACGCCTAAGGATATTCTTCGGGTGGCATAGAGGATGATAGATACCAAGCAACGGCTCTGATTGGCCTTAACATGACCAAGTCCAGGCTTATCTTGGTCCCTCTTTCATCTCAATTGTGGACACTGACCTCCCCGTGGTGCCACCTGGGGTAACTATTTTCCTCACCCAATGATGAAATAGTGAGCTAATATGTGCCGCGACTTCACCCATAAGAACTATAAAAATGCGTTGAGGCGTCGGGTTAGTTGCCTACACTCGGAAAACCAAACCTACTATGAAAAAGCAAAGAAAAAGAAAACCAAACCCACGTAATGTTGACGACCCCCGCAAACGTATAATGGAAGAAACCTACTCCGCTCAACTTACCCAACTGCTTGACGAAAACACCCCTTGTCCCGATAATTATATGGAAGCACAGTGGCAGAGAATTGCCCTCTCCCTACAAACTGAAACAAAAACAACACTTGGGTACCAAAGACCACCATCAAGAAATCCGTGGTACGATCAGGAGTGTCGTAATGCTATTGCAACCCAGCGGACAATGGCAACTTGTAATGCGATGGAGAACTATCGGGAGAAAAGGAGAGAGGAGAAACGTATTTTCAGAAAAAGAAAAAAGAAAAGCAAAAAACGTGAGCGAGATCTGAGAATCTGGAAGGAGAATTTTGAAAAACTTCTGGTATCAAATAGTAGCGATGAAGAGAATACCCCAGAACCGATAATAGATGACGGTATAGAGTGTAAAGCTAGAATAATAAAGCAACAGGTTACAAGCCAAAGACTGGTGGTCAGATGCTGGTAAGGAGCATGCACCGGCTGATTAGTACAATTTGGCTAGAAGAATGCATGCCCAATGATTGGAACCTCAGCATTCTGTGTCTCCTTCCCATCGCATATAATGTGCTATTCAGCGTACTGTGTGAACGATTGAAGCCAATGGTCAATGACATTATTGGGCCAATGCGGCTTCAGACCTAGCAAATCACCATGGACCAAATTTTGACCCTGCGCCAAATCCTGGAAAACCCCCACGAAAAACACATCGACACATTCCACCTATTCCTCGACTATAAAGCCGCATTCGACAGCCCTATCCGTTCAGAGGTGTATAAAGCCATATCTGCGTTTGGCATTCCTGCAAAAATGTTCAATGGCATTATTGGGCCAATGCGGCTTCAGACCTGGTAAATCATCATGGACCAGATTTTGTCCCTGCGCCAAATACTGGAAAAAACCCACGTCGTCGACTATAAAGCCGCATTTGACAGCCGTAACCGTTCAGAGGTGTATAAAGCCATGTCTGCGTTTGGCAAAATTAATACGGCTATGCAGGATAACTTTAATTGGCACAAGATCAGTAATTAAAGTCGGAAAAGACCTCTCAGAGCCCTTTAATACCGAACAAGGATTCAGACAAGGTGGCAGTTTGTCGTGTAACCTTTTTAACATCCTGCTGGGAAAGGTCATACGGGAGGCAAAAGTCAACAGAAAAGGCACTCTGTACACCAAACAACACATGTTACTCGCCTACGCCGATGACATCGGCATAATGGGTCGAACTCTGAGAGCGGTAACAGCCACCTTTGAACAAATTGAGAAGGAGTCTGCCAAAGTGGGTCTGGCAGTAAACGGCGAGAAGACCAAGCTGATGGTATCAAGGCGCAAGACGTCCAGTAGACTCGGGCCAACTGTGGAAGTTTTGAAATTCGGAGAAGGATAGTGATGGCCAACAGATGCTACTATGGTCAGAGCAAACATAAACAAAAC